TGTGGTGCTGAAGGATTGAACCGTGGTCCCTGTGCTTTGCCAAGCTTGTTCCAAGTAGGTGCTTTAGACCACTGAGCCATCTCTCCAGCCCCAAGACCGTGGTTCTTATTAGGTTAAAAATAATACTTTCATGATGGGTATGGTAGTGCATCCCTGTAACTGCAGCACTTGAGAGGCTGAGGCAGGATTGGTGCAAGGTTGAGGTCAGCCTGGAATATACAGCAAGACCCTATCTCAAAAAAAACATTCCCTGGCAAGCGCAAGGGCCTGAGTTCAATCCCCGGTTCTGCAAAAAAGAAAAAGAAAGAAAAGAAAAAACAAACAAAATATTCTTGGCTGAGTTTGGTATTGCACACCTGTGATCCCAGCACCCTGGGGGGCCTGAGGCAGAAGTATTACAAATTCAAGCCCAGCCTAGGTTCAGTCCTGAGTACCACAAGAAAGCTTAAAGAAATATGTCAGTAATCTCAGCCAGGAGGCTGAGGCAGGAGGATCACTGTGACTTTGAGGCTAGCCTGGGATACACAGTGAGTTTAAGGATAGCCTGAACTACATATCAAGACCCTGTCTCCAAAGAAAAAAGGGGGGGGGCAGGGAGATGGCTCAGTGGAATAAGCGCTTCCCTGGCAAGCGCAAGGGCCTGAGTTCAATCCCCAGTTCCGCAAAAAAAAAAAAAAAAAAAAAAAGAAAAGAAAAGAAAAGAAAAGAAAGAAAGAAAGAAAGAAAGAAAGAAAGAAAGAAAGAAAAGGAAGAAATATGTGTGAGAAGCTTAGATGTCATTATTAAAAATTGGAGGGCTGGGGAGATAGCTCAGTAGAATAAGCATCTGCCTGGCAAATGCAGGGTCCTGAGTTCAATCCCTGGTACTGCAAAAAAATAATTAATTAATTAAATTAAAATAAAAATTGGAGTTCAGCCAGGCACAGCGATACATGATTGTAATTCCAGCTAGTTGGGAGACAGGACTGGAAATCTGAACCCAGTCTTGGAAACTTAGTAAGACTGTCCTAAAATAAAATAAATTTTTTAAAAATCCTTCCATTCAGTCCCTCATACCACACAGACACATAGACACACACACACACACACACACACACACACACACACACACACACAGTTTGTTTTCCATACCACAGAATTGTGGGATTGCACTGGATTTTTCTGGCCTGTGCTTTTTATTTTTAACTTTTGAAAAACTGACAAGTATTATAGGACCTAATATGGTAAGATGGTTTCCTTTTGAGGCCCCAATCTTGGAATTTACTTCCAATTTGCAGTTTTCTTCTTGGATACAGGCCTTCCAAACATTGGGCTTTCCAAACTTTAGGAGATTTCATTCTTTGTTTTTCTTGTTTTTTGTATTCAGTACAAGGTCTCACTAGTGATCCTCCTGTTTACAGCCTCCCAAGTGCTGGGATTACAGGCTTGCGCTACCACGCCCAGTCTCAATCGCTGTTTCAGTGCGACCCTGGGGCTGGGCTGGCACAGCAGACCTGGGGTTGAACTCTAGCTGCAGCGTATGCCTCAGCAGGCGCTTTAATCCGCTGGGCTATTTGGCTGGCCCTTGTTTATTTTATTTTTTAAATTATTTATTTATTTATTTATTTACAAAATCTCAACACAAGATTTTAGGAGAGTAACAATGGTTAGTACATTGTGTATTGTTACTGCCCAAGTAGTTTCTCATATTACAAGATATAGGCAAGAAATAATAAATAAACAACATACAAACCTCTGTTTTTTTTAAAGTCAACAGAAAATGGAAATATACTTTTTAAAGTTTCTAATACTAGGAGAAGATATCATACAATGTCTTTTAAATAAATTGTAAGTCAAAGATACAGTGTAAATCTTAGAACAAAAATTAAGATTAAGCAATATTCAGAAAATTAAATGTTTCAAAACAATTGAACTAAGAAAAAGTTTTCATGATGGCAAAGAAGTACTAAGAGTAAAACATAAGATAAATACTGGAATGGCAAGTAAATGACCAGCACTTCTAGCAGTTTGAGGATAGGATATCGCACAAAGTTCTAGTGTGTTGTGGACATGCATAATGACTGTGACAGTTACTGGTGGCTAGGCGTCACTTTTGGAACTGAGCTACAGCTATTTCTTTGAAATCCACCCTGTAGACTCAGGTGGAATCATGACCCATAGGGTGGAAGAGAAGTCCATTTGTAGGGTGTGCTGATAAAAATATTCTGCTGCTGAACACCAAAGAATAACTGAAAGACTACTATTGTATACCTCTTACTCTCCTCTGTTTAATTGTTTGCCCTGTTTGGCGGGTTCTTTCCATTCTCATTCATGGGGCTGTGATCATTTTGCTCCCTCTCTAGAACATCATTTAGTGGTCTATGTAGGCTTGGCTTTGTCATCATGAAATTCTTTAGTTGTTCTTTGTCATGAAAATATTTCACTTCTCCATTATATTTGAAAGAGAGTTTTGCAGGATAGATCAGTCTGGGTTGGAATTTGTTTTCTTGCAAGACTTGAAGTACTTTGCTCCATGCTCTTCTTGACCTGATGGTTTGTGAAGAAAAATCTGCTGTTATTCTGATGGGTTTTCCTTTAAAAGTGATCTGTTTCTTTTCTTTAGCGGCTTTTAGTATACTGTTCCTATGCTGAATTTCTGGAATCTTGATTATTATGTGTCTGGGTGTGGTTTTCATTGGATTGATACTATTTGGAGTTCTATATCCTTCGATTACAGGAATGTCAGATTGTTGCCCCATATTTGGGAAGTTTTCTGCTATTACTTCTGCCCATATTCTTTTTATATCATTTGTATTGACTCCTTCCTTTTCATTGATGCCTATTAGCCTCACATTGTTCATCTTTGCATCGTCTTGCAGGTATTGTATTATTTTTTCCTGCATCCTAGTTGTTTTTAAGAGATCTTTTCTTACTTTTTCACTAGCTGCAATGGTGTCTTTCAGGTCAGAAAGTCTATTTTCACTTTCACGCAAACGGTTTTGCCAGCTTGTGATTGAGGTTTTAATTTCCTGTATATCACTTTGAACCTGTTTCATAGATTCTGTTTCTTTCCTAAATTGTTTATTCAGGGGTTCCATCATTTTTATATTCTCCTCTATTTTTTTATCAGTGTATTCTTTAGAAGCACTTAGTACTTCTTTGATTATAGTTACCACTACATTTTTTAGTTCTGAAATTATTTCTGATCTGATTTCTTCTATACCTTTCTGCAGTTGATTCTTTACTGTCAACGCTATAATTTCAGAGATATCTGGCGTGTGATTTCCAGTTTCCTCAGTGCTAGTGTCTTCTGCATTTGTACTGGGTGGACTCAGGGCCTGAGACTGCATTTTGTTCCTTCTCTTTGTCATTTTGTATACCTGTCTTCTGACCTTTGGTGTAGAGCTTAGATAAAGTTATTACCTTAGCACCAGGTCCAGATCCACGAAGTTCAGATTCCTCCAGGTGGGTTTTGCTTGGATCTGGCTGCTGTGCTCCACTTCTTTCTGCTGCAGCCGTTAGAGTTGAACCCTTTGTATCACTCTGTCAAGATGTTCTGCTCCTGAATCAGCTGGGTGGGTCTTGCCTCTAGCCTCTTTGCAGGGAGTTCTGCTGAAGGGTTCCGTGCTGGGCCTGCGCTCTGGGTCTCTTCAGGATCCCGCGGCCCTAAGTCATCTCACTCACTCTCCGGGCCTGCGCTCTAGGTCTGTTCAGGATCCCACAGGGCCTGGGTCATCTCTCACTCGCCGGCCTGCGCTCTGGGTCTGTTCAGGATCCTGCTGCCCGGGTCGTCTCCCTTGTTTATTTTTGATACAGGGTCTTGCTACACAGTTCCCACTCCTAGCAATCTTCCTATCTCAGCCTCTCCAGCAGGATTACAGGTGTGCACCACCATGCCCAGTTTCGGTGGCCAGCAAGGCGCACCTGGGGTTCAGGTGCTGCCCCAGCATGCAGGATCAAACCTGGGTCCTTGCATTTGCCAGGCAGATATTTAGACAACCAAACTGTCTCCCCAGCCCTGTATTTTTGTTGTCTTGTTTTTTTGCACTCTACCACTGAGGCACATCCCCATCCACTGTATTTTATATTTTGAGACAATGTTTCATTAAAGTGCCCAGGCTGGCCTTGAACTGGGCAGTCCTGCCTTGGAGTCCTTATTTCATCCAACAAAATGCTCAGCTAAGGTGAAGGCTTCAATGCCACTAATGGAGATTTGCAGACAAGCATTGGGAATAAAGTTACCCACAGGGAGTGAGAATTCTGGAGAGGAGACCTTCTGGGACTTTACGGCAGCATTCAGGGTGGCACGCACTGAGAGGAGGGAGGGAGCCCAAGTCCCCCAGGCATCAGGAGTGCTGTCTGTCCTCAGCGTGGCCAAGATGGGCACACTTTCTAGTAGCAATTCAGTTCTACCCTGAGCTCTGTCTCCGGTACCAGCAAGGGCATCCTTAAACTTTTAGGGAAAATATTTCAGAAGTCCCCTCTCAGGGAGGCAGCCACAGACTCAGCCCACATCCCTGGGGAGGACGGGAGCAAAGGTAGTGTGCAGCGTGGAGCCACGGGGTGGGTGAGCCACTAGTGCGCCTATACCTGGATTAGTTTAGCAGGCTGCCAGTAAACCCGGTCCATATCCAGGCCGTGAGGCAGCTGGGAGAACAGGTAACGAAAGCTGTTGCTGGCTCAGATCAAGGACTGGGATGAAAACAGACAAGTTTCTCAGGCAGAGCCCTCTGTTTTTATTAGTATTCCTTGATTAGAATTGGAAATCTGTCCCTTTGTCTAGCTGCAGGTACAGGTGCCGACCTTAAGCTCATTTTTTCATGTTTCTCTCCCCTAACACGGAGAGCAGTGATCCACAGCCACCCCATAAAGTCCTGCGTAAACACAGTGAGCAATGGCCTTCTGGCCTTTCTCCTCTGGAGGCGGAACAGAACTGCTTTGTGAGCCCTCTCTCCTGCCTTCTAACCATCTTTGTTTCCTACTTTGGAGGCCTCCAGTTTGTGATATCCTTGGGTTGAGCCATAGCCTTTGTGGGCAGCAAGAGCCTACCTAAGCCACTGGGGTGCTGAAGAAAGGCCACCTTTCAGCCCATGTCATGTTGCATTTTTCAGGAGAGATACTTATTACAAATGCCCCAGCCATCATCACCGCTGTGCTGTGTTCAGCTCTGGTCCAATGGAACTAGAGTAACTTCCTTTTCTACCAAAATGTTCCAGTGTCAGCCAAGGCGAGGTGAAGGGCTGAGGGGCCCACTCAAGGCGTGGCAGTTACTCAACAAAGTTGTGAAATCTTGCTGACTTTGCATTTTTTGAGACCGGGTTTCTTTCTGTAGTCCAGGCTGGCCTAGAACTCACCATGTAATTGAGCTGGGCTAGAACTTTCAGTCTTCCTGCCTCAGCTTCCGAAATGCTGGGATTGTAGAGAAGCACCACCACACACAGCTTTGTTATAGATTTTTGGAAATGGATGGTCAGATCTTAGAAGCAAATGTAATGGGTGAAAGAGAAAGAGAGGAGAGAGAAATAAGGGATGTGGGAGGGGAGAGGAAAAAACTTTAAGAACTGCTAACACAAGCTGGGCATGGTGGCGGAGACCTATGATCCCAGCATTCAAGAGGCTGAGGCAGAAGGATTGTTTCAAGTTCGAGACCAGCCTGGGCTACAAATTGAACTCATGGCCAGCCTGTACTGTATAGTGAGACTCTGTCTCAAAAAGACAAAAAAAAAAAAAAAAAAACTCTGCTGAAACGGCATGGTAGCACAACTCTGTAACCGTAGTATTCACAAGGCTGAGGTGTGAACATTGCTGCCAAGTTCAAGAACAGCCTGGGCTACACAGTGAATTCAAGGCTAGCCTAGGCTACAAACCAAGACCACATCCCCCCAAAAAAACCAAAAATCTAAACAACTGTTGAAAGGCTTATAATACCCCCCCCCGCCCTGTTCTGAGTAACAGAGACCACCACCACCCTTGTGTATTTCAGACATTGCATGGGGAAACCTGTGGCCGAAGCAAAGCCATGGCCCAGCTTTCTGTTGATGCCTGGCCTCCTTTCCAGGCTTTCTCCCCTGGACTTTAGAATCTGGCCACCTGCCCTCCCTGGGTCTCAGCTGGGGACACACCTGTGGTCCATAAGAGGCTCTCCAGGTGTACAGCCCTGAGTCTGGGGTACCTGCAGGAGTCTGTGTCTGGACCTCAAGGGCTGAGTGTGGGCCAACCTGCTGCTGTGTACCCCACCCTCATCCCCCTGGGTAAACATGGCCCTGGGGAGGTGTAGCCCTGCCCACCTGGTGCGGCCCCACCCTCTGCCCCCACAGGTAGCCATGGTGGAGGTGCAGCTGGAGACACAGTACCAGTACCCAAGACCGCTGCTCATCGCCTTCAGCGCCTGCACCACGGTGCTGGTGGCCGTGCACCTGTTCGCCCTCCTCATCAGCACCTGCATCCTACCCAATGTGGAGGCCGTGAGCAACATCCACAACCTCAACTCCATCAGCGAATCTCCACATGAGCGCATGCACCCCTACATTGAGCTGGCCTGGGGCTTCTCCACTGTGCTTGGCATCCTGCTCTTCCTGGCTGAGGTGGTATTGCTCTGCTGGATCAAGTTCCTCCCTGTAGATGCCAGGCACCAACCCGGCCCTGCGCCCAGCAGCCACACAGGCTGGCAGGCTGCCTTGGTGTCTACTATCATCATGGTGCCCGTGGGCCTCATCTTCGTGGTCTTCACCATCCACTTCTACCGCTCACTGGTGCGGCACAAGACCGAGCGCCACAACCGCGAGATTGAGGAGCTACATAAGCTCAAGGTGCAGCTGGACGGGCAGGAGCGCAGCCTACAGGTGGTGTGAGGCGTTCGGGTATCCAGGAAGGCAGATGGCATGGCAGGCTGCTTTGACATTGCCAGACAGTCCAAGGCCAAAGGACTTCTGTCATCGTGCCATAAAAACCACGGAGCTCCAGTGATTGGGGATTCTGTGGCTAAAGCCATCTCCTTGGCCCTGGGCACTTCCTGTGGTGGGGGAAAGCCCAAGAAGCTGTCCCAGGAAGGACGCTAGGCAGCACTAGTATTCAAGGGGGTTCTGAGTGCTGGCCCCTGTGGCATGGAACCTGAGCTGTGAGTTCAAGGTTTTGTACCCAGCATGCAGAATTGTGCTTCATGGTGGCCCACTAGGTCAAAAGGCCCTGTGATTAGCAGGGCTCCCAGTGTGGTTGGTGCTTTCCTTCCATCCCTACAGAGAGCTGGGTCCCTGCCTTGTGGAAGGAAGGCCTGGGGCACAGTCAGCTGGAGTGGTGGATGCTGTAGTGCGCATTGGGATTGTCAGACCCTGGGGAAGATTTGGTGTGGGGAGGCTGACTGAGGTTGAAGCAGTTTAGTTGAAGGGTGCTTGGAAGCACACTAGGCTCAGATCCCCCTCTGCAGCCAGCCTAGAGGCCAGGCCACACTGATTCACCAAGCCACCAGGTAGGGATGTGACCACAGTCCAAGGTGTCCTTCTCTGAACCTAAGTCTCCACTGGGCTGCATGAACAGCAGGACAGGACACCAGCCCAGGCACCAGGCCCGGCCCAGCTCCCTGTCTCAACATGGCCATTGACCTGGCCCACAGGTAGTGTGGCCAGGGGCCCATGTGGGTAAATGCTCATCATGACACAGAGCACCATTGGGTCCCCACACCATGTTTACACAGCCGTGCAGGAGGGCTGTGGCACTGTCACTGAGCATCCAACAGATGTGGGCTTATGTGGGAGCGTGCTCTTTCTAGACCCTGTTTACCCTAATGTCCAGAAGTCACCTGGAGGGGTGCCTTGTCTTTTGGCCTATATATAAACAGCCACATCAGTTCTTCCTGGTTCACTTACATCTTTAAGAGCATACTGTCTTTGTGGTATCTGGATTGAGTGTCGGGGTTCACTGGGAGGCCTCACTAAAGTTTCTAGGAATGTGACATGCTGTGAGGATGTTGTCTTAGTTACTGTTCTGTCCTTGCTGAGACAAAATACCCAAAGTCTGAATTAAAGAGGGAAAGGATTATTTAGCTTACAGTTTCACTGGAGGTTTCAGTCCATAATCAGCTGGTTCCCAGGCAGGGTGGCACATGGCACAGGGGTGACAGTTCGTGGTAGTGAAAAACAGAAAAGGCAATAAGAGCAAAAAGAGGAGAGACAAGCCTCTTTCCTTCCCTTATATTGTATGCAGGGGCTACCTGCCCCAGGGTTGGGGTAGCACTCAAACCTCTAATCCCAGCATTGGACCATGAGTCAATCACAAACTCTAGAAGCTCGCCCCATGATTGTATGAATGCTGTGGCAGTCCCAGGCCATCTACCAGGATCCTGAACATTCTGGTCCCCTGGGGCCAGAGCCCTTCAGATTCGGAGCAGGTCCTATATCTCCCTAGAGGACATCTCTCTATGACCCACTCACTGCCTTCTAGCATGTGCCTGCTTTCCTGGAGCTCTGTCAAAGGCTTGACTGCTTTAATGTGTAAAGAATGTCACTGTCAGGGACTAACGAGATAGCTCAGAGGTCTAAAGCGCCTCCTTAGGCAAGCTTAGGCAAAGCTCAGGGACCTTGGTTCAGTCCAGCCCCACCCTCAGGGTGGGCTGAGCCAGCCACACACAAAAGAACGTTGCTGTCACTACAGGATGGCTGCTGGGTCCTGGCAGGGGCAGGATAGGCTGGCTCTTCTGAATGAGCTGCTCCCATGGCTGGGAGGGAACAGCGAGCCTTTCCTCCATCCAGAGCCTTTGAGAAGAGCTACATTGGACCCACTCCTGCCGCCCTCCTCCCAAGACCATCTGGTGCTTCTGCCCATGGTGCCCAGTTCCACAAACTGTGCCAAACTCACCCCTATCCCAGCAGAGCCAGGGATTATACCTGGTCCACAAGCAGAGTGTCCTGCCTGTCCAGCAGACCAGCACCAGACAGTGGGTGCCCAGTGATGGTGCCACAGCAAGGAGCAGAGCCGTGGCTCTGTCAGTGCTCTGGTCAGTGATATCCCTGTGATCTCACGCTCCCAGATCCAGCCTTGCATGGTCTGAGGCTCGGAGGTGACTGCACTCATTGGAAACCTTGGACCATCCCCACCTGGGAGGCCAGCTGCCCTTGGGAGCAGCACAGACAACTCAGCGGGTCAGCCTGGAGGATGGGAAGGCAGCATGCAGCTTCTGCAGGCATAACCTGATTTTGCAGTGTGAGGTACGGTGTCCTCATTTTGACTCTGCAGCCCTGCTGTGGACCAGACGCAGCAGATGCGCTGGGCATTCCCAGTGTGCGGCCCCCACATACCCTTCATCTCAAAACTCAGGGGTTTTTGTTTTAGAAATCGAAGGCAGAACATGATTTAGCATCTCCAAGGAAGGTCTGTTGAAGACAAACTGTGAGCCCAGTGGATGGGGCTAACCTGTAGGGGGTGCTGTCCGTGCCGCCTATCCTGTATGCATGACACTGTGTAGACTTTTGGCGGATGTAACTCCTGACCTGTGTATGGATTTTTAACAGTTGCCCTGGATTGAACTGAATAAACCAGTAAAGTTCTTCTAAGCTCTGCACTCTTGGAGAGACTTGTGGGTAGACGGGTCCTTTGCATTCAGCTACATCCCACTTTGTTTCTTAGTGATACAGGGTCTCAGAAAGTTGCAGGAGCAGGACTTGAACTTGCACTCTCCCTGCTTCAGCCTCCCTTGGCACTGGGAGTACAGACATGCACCACTGAGCCTGGCTCAGGAACAGCAGCCCATCTTGGGTTAAGATGTGGCTGTGGGCAGGGCAGCCAGATAGCTCAGCAGACTAAAGCGCCCGCTTAGGCAGCGTGCAGCAGCCGAGGTTCAATCCCGTGTGCTGTGCCGGTCCCACCCCCAGGGCATACTGAGGCAGTGATTGAGACTGGGCATGGTGGGCCTTGGGAGGCTGGAAACAGAATCACTACGAGTCCAATCTACATAGTGAGACCCTGTACAGCCTGTAGACCCTGTCCTAAATTCATAAAAAAAAATTTAAAAAGATGTGCCTAAGGAAGATAGCAGGGCTTACTGGCTTCGTGCAGCTGTGGGGACCAGCACCTTGACTGTCACTTAGACGCTCATCTCCTACAGTGTGTTCTACAGAGCTGCAAACTGGGCCAGTGTGGACTGTTTGGCAAGCACAAGTTTCTTCACTGCTTGGATCCCTGAATCCTGCTGACCCTGACCCTGTTGGACAGAAGTTCCCCCGAGGCCCCACTGACATCTCAGAGCCCAATGAGGGACAAAGTGCTCTCCACCCAGAGAGGGACACAGAGACAGCAGTCACTGGCCCCAGAGCCCATGCCCACCTGCCAGCCACCTCTCACAGGATCTTTTTTTTTTTTTTAACAGAATCTTGATCCATAGCAGAGTCTTGCCTCAGCTTCCTGAGTGTGGGGTTACAGGCATATTCTGCCACTCCCAGCCAGCTCTCGCAGGGCCTTTGCAGGATTTAGCTTGGCCAGTGGCTGGGAAGCTGCTCTGCAGATGGTGCCTCAGAGCTCTTAGTGGTTTTCAAGGACTTACAGAGCACATTGATCAGGACTCTTTCCCAGGGGGTGACGCAGCCCTATTCCCCCCAGGAGCCTAAGGCAGGTGGCACTCAGCTGAGTATATTTTGTCTCATGAGCCCCAAGAAAGAGGTCCAGCCACCGTTCTCCCTACTGTCTGATGGAGGTGACCAGGGCAGCCACCTTTTCCAGGTAAGCACCCCCCACACACACCATGAGTGCCACCAAAGAAACAACCTCAAGGCATCCTAGGAGGGGAAAAGCCTTTTTTCCTACTTTTAACAGGGTGGTGAGGGGAACCAAGCTGTCCATTGTCCCTGCCCATCACACTCCCCGCACTAAGGTGAAGCATGACCCAGGCCAAGCCAACTCAGGAGCTGCCACCACCTGAAGCCTGAACTTCAAATCTGCCACCAGTCATGCTTTCCATCCTTGCACTCTCCTCAGGCCCACATTGTCCCTAGCTCCTGGGCCTGACTGGCAAGTAGCTGGAGACCCTGAGACAGGTAAAGGCAAATGTCATTTCACACATGTACCAGCATTTTGAAAGTGCAATTGTTACTCTAGACTGTGACAGATTAACCCCAACAGTAGCATAGGTCCAAAGGGCAGGACCCTGTGTATGGTCCCATCCGAACCAACTCTGTACAGGGCTCATACTGCCCATAGCATCAGGGTCAGATGGCTTCCACCAAAACCTAACAAGGAGAAGAGAGCTGTCCTGGGCACCTCTGGCCAGGCTGGCACAGGCCTGTCCCCAGGGAGGCAGTTCACATGGGTCTCCCTTGGAAAGAGCATGAGAGCTGCAGGAGTTCACGTCCTAGGTCCTGTTGCCTTCCCCCGGGCTGGAATTCAGCTGACAGCTCCCGAAAGGTGGCACAGACCCGCCGGGCTGTGATGTGCCTGCGGTGGATGGCATGAGTCCATTGGTGCCGCGCCGCCCCAGTCAGCACCAGCAGGGAGCAGCGGGGGACAGGGATGGCCACCTCCACATCCTGGCACAAGACGGAGCGGGTGGGGGTGAACACACTGTTGTCCATACAGTCCTTGGGGCTGGCAGGAGGAGCCAAACTGAGTAGCAGTGTGTCAGGTGACTCCCGGGACATGGACATCACAGTGGGGGACAGGAGGTTGAGACTCACCAGCCGCTCACCCCACAGCCAGGCATCATCCAAGTGAGGGTCAATGGCAGAGCCACGCACAGGGCTGTAGTCCAGGTTACACTGCTCGACGGGCTGGAAGCCCTCCAGGCTAGGGTAGAGACCCATCCTCCGCACCACCTCTCGGCTGAAGCTGGGCAGGCCCTGGAAGCCTGCCATCTTCAGCTTCTGTTTCCGGAAGTTGACTCTGGGGCCGTAGTCCTGTGGTGAGGACAGAAAGGGAATGGTGAGGTGTCTGAGTTTAGCCAGTGAAATTCAAGCAGAAAGAGGAAGGCATGCACGAGTCTGACTCCATAGACAGGACATCCTAGAAGGAGGCAGGGGCGGAAATGAATGGCAAACATCACTGGCAGCAAATGCTGAGGAAAAGGTGAAAGAAGGAAGGAGAATGTGGTGGATACGGGGTGTTCCACCCCATACCCTAGCAGGCAGAGCTGGAGAGAGGGTCTACATGTGGGGAGTATGCTCTCGTATGCAACAATTGCAAGGAGCAGGATCTGCAGGCAAGGCTACACCCAGGCAGCAGCATCCACCAGGTCAACGCCAAAGTCAGCTGAGGCTTGGAACCACAGGAAGGGGAGCCCGCAACCTACAACTCCTCACCTGCACATGCACCCTGTGTATGTGCAAAACCTGTACACAGTGTTTCCAGCTGCATTATTCACAATAGCCAAAAAACCAGAAACAAGCCAGGTGTGGTAACACATATCATTTGTAGTCCCAGCACTTTGGGAGGCCTGAGGCAGAAGGATCAAGTTCAAGCCCAGCCTGGGCAAGTTAGGTGGGGATATAGCTCGGTGTGAAGGCCCTGGGTCACTCCCCAAGTACTGAAAATAAAAAAGGTATCATGATCTGACAGGGGTCATCCAGGACATAAGAGAAGCCAGGGGTGCTGCAGAAACCTGGGCAAGGTCCCCAGGTGATGGCACAGGTCTCCATGGTGGCAGCTGGAGGGTGACATGCATATAGTTGGGACATGTTCTGCAGGGAGCTGGCAGGAATGACCAAAGGAGGCTCAGCCACAGAGGCAAAGCTGGAAATACCTCTGGTTTCTGGCCCAGGAAGAGAGGAGATGTGGCCGAGACATGGTGCCAGGTTGGGCCGCAGAGGGTCGCAGTGGCTGCTGGTATGGGGTAGGTTAGTGAAAAGGGAGGGGAGGAGAGAGATGGGGGCATGAGAATGATCTCACAGGAGCGGAAGCACCAGGCAGCCTCTGCTCAGGAGGTGGACATACAGTGCATGAGGAGGAGGGGATAAGGGGACCATGTCCTCAGCACTGCATCAGTACAAAAGGAGCAGCAAGCATGTGGCTGGGGAGGCCTCCTGAGGCAGAGTAGGAGGGAACCTTCCAGCTACCTGGATATCACTGGGGCTGTGACACAAAACCACCACAGGGCTCGAGCGACAGGGTAAGGGGTGGCAGGGACTGCCATATGTGGAGGTTGGATGAGTGGAGGTGAGAAGGTAGGTGGGTGGGGAGGAGTGGAAGCGAGAAGGTCCCAGGTCCTGTGGGGTGCGGGGGCTGGGACGAGGAAAAGAGCAAGCAAACAGCAGTGGATGTCAAGAAGGACCAGTTCCTGGTGAGAACAGGAACATGCAAGAGGACGAGGGACATGACAGGGAGAGAATGGAGAAGGGTGTTGTGTAGCAGCCTTGGAGAATGGGGATCTCTGTCTAGAGCCTGCCTGCCAAGGAGCCCACTGCTGGAGATGGGCACAGAGAACCAGTACCGGGGAGGTGCTCGCTGGACACAGCCCTTAGTGACCCTGGCTGCCCATGCCCCACTGGGGCCCTCAGGTGGCTGCAGAGGTAACTGAGGGCCCTGCAGCCTCACGGCCCCACGGGCCACCATACCTGCTTCTTACGGCCAGACTGAGACAGCTTCCAGGGGTCCCGGTCCATCAAGCGCACCATCTCGGCCTCTTCCTCCGGGGTCACAAAATCTTCTATTAGTGTCACCCCTGGAAAGGGGAAGGCCCAGCCTTCAAAGTCAGACTCTTCAGCCCCTACAGCCCAGCCTGTGTCCACACAGTAAAGGAAGTGGTGTGTTTTCTGCAAAAGACAGACAGGTCCTGCACAGTGTCTCAGAGGTTTCAGTGGCTTCTCCACCCCTGGCAGCCACTTGGGGGAGGTGGGGACTGCCCAGGGGAAGCCTGCAGCCCCCTAGAGCCGCTGTGAACTCTCGCTCATTCTCTTCCCTCCTCAACCCTGTTGTCACTCTCCACCTCACAGCGGAGGCTCAGTGATGCTGAGGAACTAGCTCATGTCACCATAGGCGGCATCTTCCAAAGGGACACCTTGCCAGCTGCACAGGGCCTGATCACTCTGTCTAGCCCAGGCTCTTCTAAGGGACCCTGTGACACTGAGGGCTGGGTTGGGTTGGGTAGGCCATGGCAGACCTCAACAGATCCTGTCGCTACCTCCTTTTTGTTTTGTACCCATCGCTGCCACCCGTACCACAATCTTCTACACTCCTAACTCTGCTCCAACATCTGCTTCCAGAACTCAGACTGCTCCAGTGCCCTGCCCTCCCAGCACCTTGCATCCCTAATCTCCCAGGTTCCTTGCTGACTGCACCCCAGTTTCCCAGGCCGGAGCCTGTCACCTCTGAGAGAGTCAGGAGGGGTTTTTCTAAATGCCCTGGATTCCCCAAGCCATAGTGCACTTCTCTGGGCCCTTTACCCAGATGTGGGGTTTTGATAAGAATTCTGGGGGGGAAACTACCCGCTCGGGCCCCTCCTCCTGTCCCTCTCTTGGGACAGGAGCTTTCTTTCTCTCAATAAATATATTCTGCTCATAAAAAAAAAAAAAAAAAAAATTCTGCTCCTACCATCCCCACCCAACCCTGAAGAGCAGGCTACATCTGCCCAGGGCACCGAAAGCCCCCATGTAGAAGTCTGGAGTCCGTGCAAGAAGGCCTGCCCATGGCCTCGTGCCTCTGCTCCCTGCTCGGCTCTGAGCTGGGCCCTCACCTTGAGCTCCTGAACACCCTGCCCATCCTCACTGCTCATCCAGCAGGAGAACTGCTTCCTCCTCTGCTACACAGCCCAGCAGCCAGCTCTCCCCGCCTACACCCAGCTCTCCTTATGCACTCCATGTGTCTCTGCTCTGCTATCACTCTGAGGCCCAGTGGTACTCTTGGGTCTCCCCCAACCCAGGAAAGTCATAAAACCATTCCATGCTTGCCTCCTTCCGCTCTGGCCAGCCCCTCCCAAGTGCTGTCATAAAGGCAATTAATTAATTAATTTATCTATTGGCAGAACCAGGGACTGAACTCAGGCCCTTGTGCCTGCCAGGCAAGCGCTAATTCTACTGAGCTATCTCCCCGGCCCTAGCCTATTTTAAGGATTTTTTTTTTTTTTTTTTTGCTCCGAATGCCTTCAGGGCAGGTTTGGCTGGCTTGAGTTGTGGGGATCGAACCACAGCATCCTGAGCCTGACTGCTTTGTTGAAGCAGCCACTTAAAGGACTGAGCTAAAGGGCAGGCCCCCAAAGCCTATTTTAAATGTAATGAAAATTGTATGTTTCTGTATTTCGAACACCAGTATACTTCTAAACACTATTCAAGGATGAGACTTGGAAGCACAGCCAGTTTTCATAATTAGAAAGCTATAAACTTAACAAGGCTTGATGCTCCAGGGGCCAGCTTTAAGATAAGTGCAGCTTAGGACCAGCAAGACAGCTCAGTGGACTGAGCTCCTGCATAGGCAAATGCAGGGGCCGGGGTTTGGTCCCTGGCACCACATGTCGTTCCAGCCCAGCCCCCAGGCCTGATGAGCTGGCGACCGAATGCAGGCATGGTGGCATGCACCTGTAATCCCAGCTCTGGGGAGGCTGAAAACAGGAGAATCACTATGAGTCTGAGCTGCACTGTGAGACCCTGAACAAAATACACACACACACACACACACACACACACACACACACACACACACAAAAGTGCAGCTTAGCCAGACAGTATGTTTTGCTTACTTGCAAGTCCCAGAAAGTCACCACCTCAAGGACACTTCTGCCCAGTCTCACACAATGATTGACCACCCCCCACTGTTATATGATAACAATCTTATTAGTTTCTGTAAGGGGAAATTCTGCCTAGCAATTAATGACAAAGGGGGCCGGGGAGATAGCTCAGCAGCATAAGCAACTGTCTGGCAAGTGCAAGGTCTTGAGTTCAATCCCCAATACCAAAAACAGAACAAAACAAAATTTTTTTATTTTTTATTTTTAGGGAAAGGTCACCAGGGTGTTCAGGGTCTCACTACTAGATCAGACTCACAGTGATTCTCCTGTTTTACAGCCTCCCAAACACTGGGATTACAGGCACACTCCACCACACCCAGTCTCAACTGCCATCTCAGCACGCCCTGGGGGCGGGTTTGGCAACACAGGCCCTGGGATGGAATAAAAAGACAATTAATGACAGAGATGGGCTAGGGAGATGGCTCAGCAGAATAAGTGCTTGCCTGGCAAACATAAGGGCCTGAGTTCAATCCCCAGTTCTGCCAAAAAAAAAAAAAAAGACAAAGATATGTGTCACCAACTATAAAATGTGATGTTACCTGCCTTTTTGTACTTCCTTCTGAAAACTATATAAGTGATTAATAACCTCAGAACAGGGTTGGGGATTTGAAACTCAGGGTTCTGCAGCGTGCTAGCATAGTAAAGCTGCCTTCCAAAGTTCCTCTGGTGCTGTTGTCTTCCATTTGATCTGAATTCCATGTCACTGTGACTGCAGCCTCCCAGCCCCCACCTCCTGCTCTGAAGCCACCTCCTGTCTGCCTCCTTCGTCTCACTTGACCCTGGGGCACACTACCAGTGCTACTCTTTCTCAACAAGGTCCCTCGGCTTTGGATGCACTTTCCTGGCTTTCATCAAGATGCTGAGGGCTGGGGATATACCTCAGTGGCACAGCATCTGCCTGGGTACCAGAGCCTCTCTTCCCTGTGTGGGAGAGACAGGGACAGCCAGTGTAAGTTCTGGCCAAGCCACTCAGCAAGGACTTCAGAGGCCACCAGAATTCAGTCCTGGCCTCTGTGGCCTCTCTACTTCCTCTCCCATCCCCAGCCTCCATGGCTCGCTGAGGTCCCCTCCTCCCGAAGCTCCCCCTCCAGCCTCTGATTCTTGCTCAGACACTTCCTGAGCTCTGAACCAGCCTCTTCCCCATTAGACAAGATAAACTGGAGGATTTCCTGGACATCTCGTTCTTCTCGTCCCACAGCCATCACTTGGGACAATGCCACATTCACAGGGCCTTGTGCTTTCACACCCATGGTTACTAGCACAGCTCAGACTTTCTACATTTTTAAAGTAAGATATTCATAACATAAAATTTACTATTAACCATTTCATTTTATTTTTTTATTGGTGGAACTGGGGATTGTTATTATTATTATTATTATTTTTTTTTTTTTTTTTTTTGGCGGACCGGGGATTGAACTCAGGCCCTTGCGCTTGCCAGGGAAGTGCTTATTCCACTGAGCCATCTCCCCAGCCCTTTTATTCAGTTTTTTGAGACAAGGTCTTGCTATTAGCTCAGGGGCTGACCTCGAACTGATGGCAAACTTCCTGCCTTAGCCTCCTAAGGGATTACAGGCTTGTGCCACCATGCCTGGCTCTATTAACCATTTTAAAGTATCCAGTTCAGTGGTATTAACTATATTCACATCATTGTGCAACCATCACCACCCTCCATCTCTAGAATTCTTTTCATCTTGCAAAGCTAAAAGCCTGCCTTTGCTGGGCGTGGTGGCACAGACCAGCAATCCCAGCACTGGGGAGGCTGAGGCAGGAAGATCACTGGGAGTTCAAGGCCAGTCTGAAGTACATAATGAAACCTGTTTCAAAAAGACAAAAATCCATCCATCCATCCATCAAACAATCAATCTCTTGTCTCTTAGCTAAGCATAAAGGAAAAATCCCAGAACTTGGGCCAGCCTGTGCTACATAGCAAGACAATCTCAATAAAACAAAACACCCTGTTCCTATTAAACATTCTCCTTTCCCTAGCATCTGGTATCCATTCATTCTACTATTTATCCCTATGATTCTGACTGCATTAGGAACTTTATATAAAAGGAATTCTACAGTATCTGTCCTTTGGTGACTGGCTTGTTCCACTTGGGATCCTCAAGGTTTATGCACGTTTTACATGTGTCAGAATTTCCTTCTTTTCGAAGCCTGAATAATATAGTCCATTATATAACTATAAACTGTTTTTAGTGAATAGTATGTTTTGTTTTGTTGAGACAAATTTTCCCTATCAGGCTGGCTTTGAACTTTCAGCAATCCGCCTGCCTCTGCCTCCCAAGGCTGGAATTATAGGCATGCATCACCACATCTGGTCCCCCTAATGGTACTCTGGGCCAGCTTGCAGGGCCAGGAATAGAACTTGGGACTTTGCACTTTCCAGGTAAGTACTTATGCCTCTGACCTATCTCCCCAGCCCTCTTTGGGCACTTTTACCACAGACAAAGAGTTTCCCTATGGACTTCCCACCCTGCACACCTTCATATCATTTTCCCTTAAAACCTTTCTAAAATCCACATTTGACTTTGCAACACCTTTAAAACCCTCAGGAGCTCTCTGTGGCCTTCAAGACAAGTGCAGCCTGCTCAGCGGACAAGCAGGCCCGCCAACCTCAGGCCCCTTGACCACCCTGGCTTCATTTCTCTCTCCTACAGCATCCTTCCAAGCAATGCACCTACCCCGGGCCTGCACCCTAGGCCTGCCCGGTTCTCCTGTCTGTACTGTCTTTAGGACCAGTTTCTGTACTGCCAAACCAGTGGGAGAGCTCAAGATCTTCTTTTTCCTTCCCCCCGTGATGATGCCCTGGCTAGGCTCAACTTAGCGATTCCCCCAAAGTCGCTGGGATCTACAGACGCGCTCTACCCTGCCGGCTTCTTCTTCTTCTTCT